CATGCCATGATATTTTACAAATTTAATCTTCTTAGACCTAGGTTGGAGCTTTCAGAATTCATTCAAAATCTTTATATAGGTGTCACATCCCCATTTATAGACCCATCTGCAATGGGGTTGGTGACCTGTCCAAGCTTTAAAGAGTGTCAATAGCTTTGTGTTCTTGCATCTGTATAGGGGCACTGAGGTAGGTGATAGATTTACTATTATGAAGACTGTGGCAAGAGCTTCACCCCATAACTTATTGGGTAGTCCTGAGTCTATAAGTATGCTTCTTGTTTGCTTGCCAAGAAGTTGTATTTCTTGTTTGCTTGTTCCATCTTGTTAAGATGTATATGTGCATGTAATCTTTTATTATATACCCTTGCTCCTGTAGAATTTAGCCAGTTATTAGCTCATCAATTTGGAAGCTCCATCAGACAGTATAGTGCCAATCTTTTGTTCAGTAGACACTTTGATTATGTTGATCCAGTTCTTCAGAGTTTCTGGAGCTTCTACCTGCTCCTTCAGGAGATAGATTCACCTGTATTGTGTGGCATCATCTGTTATAAGTAGGAGGTACTTCACTCCACTGTAGCTTGGAGGATTGGAGTCTGTAGATAGAGTACAGCTGTCACCTGTAATATCAATAAAAATTTTAGCTCCAGGCTTTGTAAAGCATGTTCTAGATTTGAATGGATTGCAAGCTTACTTAGCTTTAGCACAGGTTTCACAGAACCCTAGCTTCTTTACTCTCTTTATTTGCATTGCCATTCTTAGATCTCTAGTTAAAATAGCTATATCATGGGCATTGAGATGCCCCCAGTGTTTGTGCTAATTGGCCATTGTATTCTTCTTGATTTCTGGCTTTTTTGCCAGATGATTCAGTGCTGAAAGCACATCATCTTTATTCTCTAGAGTTGCTGTTACATATCAGGGCTCTAGGAGTTTTATAGATACTGGAAATGTGTATGCTAGTAAATTACATGTTCTAGGTGTTTGTAGAACTAGGATGTTATTCTTGTTAAGCATGGCTTTGAAGCTCTATGTTTTATCTGCTGATTCTAATAGAAAGATGTGTTCTTTATTGACATAAAGCTGTTCCACTGTAAAGCCATCTTGTATAAGCTTCCCAAAGCTTATGAGGTTAACCTGGAGGTCAGGCACAATTCTGACCCCCTCAATGCTCAATTCTCTGTTGTCAGTTTGGATACTGGCTGTGCCAAATTCTCTGGTGACTGATTTCAAACTGTTTGCCATAAGCAGTTGTGTTGCATGGCTCTTTGGGTCCATTTGAACTAGATCTATATGTAAGGTTGTGTGGGATCTAGCTCCAAAGTCAAGAACCTATTTGTCTGTGGATTCACGTACTTCTTTCATAGAGAAGGCTGCTTTGTGAACTGAATGAATCTTGTCTGTTGCAACTGTGATTGCTTTCTTGCTTTTGCCTTTAGAGTTTTTCTTAGGCTTGTTAGACTTTAAATTTGTATTCTTGTTAGATTTGCAAAATTTAGTCAAATGGCCAGGTTTGCCACAAATATAGCAGTTCCAGTTCTGCAGTGAGCTCTTCTCTGGATTGAATTTGGAGTTTGTATTCTTGTAAGACTTTTGGGAATCTGAGCTTGTTGCATTTGTATTTGGCTTTGTAGATCTGTCTTTCTTCAGGTCTTTCTTGGAGATTTGATGGAGAATATTCTTCAGTAGGGCTTTCAAATTCTTCTCTGGTAGATTTGTTCTGCTCTGGCATGCCATATCAAATTAGTTCTGTATGAACTCTCTCCATCAGAACATAATATTCATCTTAAAGATATCATGTAGGGTGTGGTCTGGTTGTTTGAATTCTAATCTCTTAAATTCTACACAGATTGCTAGAAATCTCTCTATATAATTTCTTTCTGAGCCAGTAGACTGTAGTGTCATTCTTACTAACTCTGTAAGTAGGCTTTTTCACTGTATCTCAGGTCTCTCTTAGAAGGTTGTTCTTACAACTTTTCAGAGTTTGTAAGCACTAAGACTATCTGATTTCTTGAAGTGCTCTCTGGCTTGTGCAGATATTGTATTGTCAATTAAGCCATATAGCTAATTATTCTGAATATTCCAGTATTATGAAACCTTCAAGTACTCTGGCTGTAGTGAAGTCTCTTGCCATTCCAGAATAACCTTCTCAATATCTACTTGGCAGACTATTTTTAGAATAGCTTTGCTTCATGCTAGATAGTTGCTAGCCCCATAGACTTCTTCACTGTCTTTGTGGTCTTTGTGAATTGGGTGATTGCTCTGCTGATTTATGTATTTGTGTCTATAAGATTGCTAATGTATTCTTCTAGTTTCTTATTGAAGTCTATTTCTCAGTTCTCTTCTTCTTCTTGTTGAGCTTTGTGCTCTAGGTTCTCCTGTATTGTTGCAGGTGTGTTTGTGGTGCTTGCTTGGCCTGATAGGAGGTTCACTTGCTGTGCCAGCTGTTGTACTATCTTCTGTTACTTTTGTATTATCTTCTGTTGATTCAGCATCATTCTGTGCAATATTTGAAATTCACTCTTCTCTCTAGGCTTCTGCTTATTGTTTGATGGGCTGTCTCTGAGCCTACTCGACTGCCTGAGCTTGATTTGAGATATAGAGAGATTTGTTAGAGCCTCTCCATCAGAAGTTTAGTGCTCTGATTTGTCTGTGTGGTTCACTATGGCTTTGATGTTGCCAGGTGCTTGATTTGCTTGCTAGATGTGTTTAGCAGATATTTCACTCACTCTTTAATCACATGCCAGAAAGCTACAAGATTTAACTTACTCTTCAGCTCAGTGCTAGAGAGCTACAAAGATTGCATGTATAGAAGATGCCTATCTCAATATACACTCTTTTTAGAGCTTCTAAAACCTCATTATTCACAAGAATAACCATTCAGAGTATTGATTGTAAGCTTTAATATTCAATTGAGCTGTAAATCAATCTTATATGCTTGCTCTTCAGTACAAAGGGCTATAATCTGATGAAGAACTTGTATGCTTGTTATTCACTAAGCTACCTAAAGAGGAATCTTAGCTAATCTATGTGGGTCACGTGAGCGAGGTGCTGGTTAGATTACCTAACACAAGCCACCCTAAAGCTACTATCTCTGAGCTATATAAACCATCTATAGCTCCTGCATCTTGCTTATCACCTTTGCCACTATTGCTCTTTTCTACACACTCATTCTTTATTACCCGTTTGGTTATTAGTTAAAGAATATGAAGATTTCTTGTTCATGAAACTTGCTACTGTTCCTTATTAGAGCTGCCTGCATTAGTATGGGGCTCTTTAGTACTATTACTTCTTGTGAGCTTAGATGTTCATTAGAACATACCTATCTCTACACTTACTACTTGACCATATTCTTACTATGTTATGGCTTTTCACCTTTCTTGTGCTCTCACCATATCAACCAACTCACTTACCTTGATGAGGCATTCTATTATACCCCATTTGGTGACCAAGCTGAGACCTGAAGATAATAATGCAGTGATTTGGTAACTGTTAAGAAAGAAAAACAAATTCTGAGACACATAAAGCAATACACTATTTCAAGGTAAGATCTTATGGACTAGAAACATAGTACTAATTAGGTTTTTTTATTTAAGAATAAGGTTAGGGAGCTTAGATTTAAATGCCTCTTATTTAGAGCTTGCCTGATAAAGAGGTTTTTGGAAGATATTGACTTATAGACAGAACATACTGTGTGACATGACTAAAGATCAAGAAATCAAGAAATCAGAATCACTGAATCAACTATGGCTGAAGGTACTACAGAATCATATGCAACTATGTCACAGAGTGAGGACAAGAGAATTGTGGTTCATTCTCACATTCCTATGCCTTCCCCTGGCACAGCAAATGCACCTTGGTTTAACAGCAGAGATGCTATTCTGTTTATTGAAAGGTTTTATCAGATGTGCAAGAATCATGGGGTAATTGACTCTAAAAACATTATTGAACAGTTGGCTAGGTACTGTGTTACATGGATTGGAGAATGGATGAAGATCTTAAAAGACTACAAAAAAGATAATTAGGAAGTATTCTCCAAAGAGATTATTCATGAATTTCATGATCAAGACATTACTTACAAGATTCACCACCAGGATTACCTTCAGACAATTAGAAAGAAACTACATGCTTGGGATAGCAACTTTTACACCTATGTGCAAGAATACACTACTATCACCAGTACAGTTCAAGCAAATGGAAGACTTGATGAATTCACTAAGATATCTTGGTTTCTTCAGGGGCTATCTGAGAAGCTCCAGAATAAGATTATTGACAAGGCTAAGCTCAATCTTTCAGACAATATGTCATCTATTGATTTTAGAAAAGTTGTTCAGGTGACTATGGATTTGATCAACTAGTATAAAGAGAATAAGAAGATCTTTAAAGAAGATGAAATGAAACAAAAGAAAATGAAGAAACTTGGTGAGCAATATCAATTAGCTAACAAGTTCTCTACAGTTGAAGCTCCAAAGAAAACAGCTAGTTTTGCAAAGACTGAAGAATCCAAATCAAAAGTCAAAGCCAAGGACTCTGACAGCACCAATATTGAAGCTGCTATTGAAAAGATGACCAACAAGTTCACAAATTTAGCATTGGTCAGGAGAGTATAATCAAATCAGATACAAGAGAATTTCAATCAGTATTATATGCTGCAGAGAGAAGAACCTCCAAAATCTATATCAAATTATCCAACAAATGTGACTGTTAATTCTACAACTGTACAAGAGAATACTCAACTGCCAGTCAACCTCTATTTAGCTCAAAATAGCTCTTCTATGACAGGCTATAGTGGTGCTTGTAGATGAGAAGGAGCTCAAACTGCAGAAATTTCAACACATTCTTCATACTTCTACTGTGGAAAACCTGAATATTGTCAATCTCAGTATTATGAATACCAATCTGATATCAGTAATAAATACTGCCATATTGATGACAAAGAGAACTTACATATGGGATCTAAGAGTCAAAACTATCAAGTTGTCACTTCTAAATCTGGAATCTTGAACATGTATATTGTACAGTCTATGGGAGAGGATGAATGGGTGATTCCAGAGTCACCAAGCTCTAAAAAGAAGACCAATCAGCAAGAAGAGACACCTCTCACAAATTCAACCAGTGTGAAGATTCAAGCAGAATGACTTATATACCTAATATCTGATAGAGAATATGATTCAGATAAGAAATATGAATCATTGAAGGAAAGAACATCAGTTAATATTGAAATAGTTAAAGAAGCTAAGAACAATCAAAGAGCTAAGATTGCAACACTCTATACTCAGTGTACTGGACAATTTATTACTTACCAGGATAATCAGACTAGTGTTGATGACAATGTCATAAAAGATGTTGAATTAATTAATCAGAAGAAGCCTGAAATTCAGAACAAGTCCACAGAGAAACAAAGATCAAGATATTCTGCAACAGATTGCTTATTCTCTCAGATTCATGATTCAAGAGATGCCAATGAATTAATAAGTCAAATTCTCAATGAAAAAGTTGAATTGATAGTCAAGAAGCTTATAGATGTATCACTAAAACTTCATCAAGCATTCTTCAGATCAGGCTGGAATAACAGTACTAGCAAAAGCCATGTAAAGATTGAAGTCTCCAAACCAGTTCAGCCTGACCTAAAGATTAATTCTAGTAAACTTACATTAAAGCTCATGGTGCCAAAATCCAAAACAGTATATGGAATGCATTCATTATATACACCAGTCACTATAAACCAACAAGAATTAATAGTGTTGATTGATACTGGTTCAGAAATCAATTTGTTGTCTTGAAAGTATGCTGAAATGTTGAATCTGATAATGAAAAATAAGCTGTGAGTGATCATGGTTGTTCAAACAGAGAAGTTGCTTCTTTTTACATATTTTGTAATGAAGTGCCTGTTCAAATTGAAGATATTATTACACATACTCTTTTTCTTATATTTGAGAGAGAGAATCAGCAACTTATTCTTGAAAGACCTTGGCAATTTGCTGCCTATTGGGGGTGCAACATCTCAGAAGATGGTGGAGTGAACAGTGCAATTTATAATAAGAAATGAATGTGTTGCCTAGTTTTTGAAGACTTTAAGCCAAACTTGAGCAACATAAGATATATGACTGATAAATCAAATAGTGATCATTTAAATAACTCAACAGGCATTTAATCAGGTAGGTGTCCATGAATACAAGGCCTGAGAAAGATGAAGAAGATGTGATAAATATAATAGATATGAGGATTAATGATAAGAAGGTTGAAGGTCAGGAGATTGAAAAGAATATAGAAGTCAGAAGTGTTAGCAGTATTGTCAGCATAGGTGATTACAGTAATGAAGAGAAATATAATTCCAGTGTTAGTGAATCTAAAAGTATGCTAAGCCTAATTGAATTAACCAGCACACTGGTGAATCAAATGGACCAATCAGAAGAGAAGAATAATTTTGCATAGGGAGTTCAGATTTTCTGATCTCTGCTTTCTGATCCAGACAGTGTCATGGCTCACTGCAAATATTACACACACAATATAAATTTCAGCTTAATTTGAAAACCTATTCTATAAAATGCTTGATCAATTTACACATCCCTGAACAAAAATCATGATTTTATCATGAAGAAATCACATCAGATAGACCTTTTCAATAGTGGATGGGATATTGGGCTACCATCTTCAGAGATCTAGAGAGTGTGCACTGCTTATAAGTGAAAAGCTGATAAGATAAGATTATTAGCACCTGGAAAATCTGATGAAAGCAAGCCAGAAGACCTAGATAATTAGGTGAATATTTGTTTGAATAAGTATTACTCTGAGAAGAAACACATTGTGTTTAATTGTGAATTTGATGACCATATTAGATCTAGAATTGCATCCTTTTTTGTTGGAGAATGGCTAACAAATAAGAGAATTAAGAAGCTCAAAATTGAATTTAAACTGACAAGTCAGAAGAAGGAATTTTTCATATCAGTTCTTTATAAACATGAAGAGGTGTTGGCTTGGTCATTCAAAGACCTATATGGCATTTATTCTAAATGCTTGTCTTCTCAGATCAGACAGAGCCCCATGAGACTTGACAGACTAAGACTTACCAAATTCCTTGTGCTCTATATGATAAGCTAATTAAAATCATTCAGAACAGGTTAGAAGTTAAAACATTAGAGCCTTGCCATGATTCATATACCAATTTCTATTTTCTGGTCACAAAAAAACAGAAAGGTGAATATTGTTTAGTTGATGCAGCACATATGTACAACAAAGTTACTATTCAGAACATTTTTATTTCTTCTAATGTTGATGAATACACTGAAGACTTCAGTGGACTTATTATAGCTAGTCTATGTGACTTATTCTCTGGATACAATAATTTTCCATTAGTCAAAGAAAGCAGAGATATAACAGCTATTGCAACCTCTATTAGACTCTTTAACCATACAATTTTAGTTCAAGAGGCAACAAATTTGCCTGCTCAAGCTCAATGTGGGATAATGAAGATAATACACAAGATTTTTCCAGAGATTGCTCAAGTCTTTATGAATAATCTTGGAGTAAAAGGATTGCATGTCAAAGATGAAACTGAAGTTCTCCCAGAAATAAGAAGATTTATTTATAACTATCTGCAGAACCTGAACTAGGTTCTATAGCTTGTCAAAATCTCTGGAGCCAGGATCTCCAGTGTCAAATCTCAATTTGGCATGTCTGAAGTTAATGTTGTTGGATGAATCTGTAACTATAACAGACAACAACCTGAGAAAGCCAAGATGGCTAAAATTGTGAATTGGCTTACTTCTACAGACATTACAGAATTACAAGAATTTCTAGTGCTTGCTGGATATTTTCAAATACTTATAGAGTACTATAGTTAGATAACCAAATCTTTATATTATCTGCTTCAACAAAATGTTAGATGGACATGGACTGAAGAGCAAAATGATGTCTTTATGCTTTTGAAAGAAAAGTTATGTTCATTCTCTATTGTTCTTCCAATTAATTATGAACAAGATTCTTTGCTTATCACTGTGGCTGTTGATGTTAGTGGATTAGAATGGGAAGGATGCATTATTCAGAAGCAATGAGGAGCTTGACATCCTGCACAATATGAATCCAAAGTATGGAATGATTCAGAGAAAATAGATAATGCTGGCAAATGAAAATGCAGAGCTGTTTTGAAAGTCTTCAAGAAATTCCAACACCATATCTATAGAGTGCCCTTTACTTTGGAAATCAATGCAAAAACTCTTGTCACCCAACTTAATAGGACTGCTACAGATGTTACAAGAGCTTTAGTTACTAATTAGATAGCTTTGATACACCTCTTCAACTTCACTGTTAAACATGTTCCTGGGACAAAACACACAGCTGCTGACAGACTGTCTCACCAAGGACTAGGTATTGGGGAACAGTCTGAATCTGAAGAAGATGAAGATCTGTTTGTCTTTATGGATTCAATAAGAGTTTTAGCTAGCTAAGCTCTTGATAGTGAAGACCTCAGGTGTTGTGTGTGTACTGGGAACCTCCCTGGATCTTTTGGGATCTTAAAGAGTATCAAAGGGCTTAAAGATAGCAACAACAGATTGGAGGTAGTGATGAATAGTTCAATAGTGCTCTGGTTGAGTGAGCAGTCTTGCTCTGATGACAAAGAGTTTCCATGCAGGTATATTAGAGTCAGAGCAAGACTATCATGCCTTCTCAAGAGTAGCAGAATCAGGTACAATTGTACAGTATCACAAGACTTCAATGGTATGAAAAGTAATCAAGATATGAAAGTATCTGATTCAAAGATATCTATAAGATAGTAAGGAAAGTTGATTATCATGAACAACTCCATCAGATCTCTAGTAATGAGCATTCTTATGTACATGATGCTTTCTTGGTGATAGTTCTGCTAAGTTGTTCTATTCATTCTATTGCAGTATGCTTGCTATATTCTCTGATCAGTTCTATCATACTTGATGTAATTGGTCAGCTTATCAGTTCTATTGCTGGTTACATGACTTTCTATCTTTTAGTTTCTCTATAATGGTTTGTAACTCTGTCTTGTCTGTCTCTTTCAATTATTCTGTGTCTTCAGCTGCTGTGCTGCAAGATTTATAAGATCATTTTCTTCTTTTATAGTGTATTGTTTTCAACTGCTCTGCTTTCTTTTTCTGGAATATAAAAGAGTATTTTCCCATTCTTTTTTGGGCTTCTGGGCTTTTTTCTTATTTTCTTATTCTTAGTAAGTGTCTCTATGGTTCTCCTTCATCATATTTTCTGCTTCTAATGTTTGCAAGAAAAATCTTCTTTTTGCTATTGAGTGATCCAGATTTGTTATGCTTTCTTTCTATTCTTGATACTTTTTACTGAGTAAGACTTGCCTAAAGTCAAGTTATTCTTCTTGATGTAGTAAGTGTGTTCAAACCAGTTGTTGTTGTATCTATAATGATGATTTCTCTGCTACTGATTGGCAGAAGTTGTTTGAGACTCAGAATAAACTTGAGTATGTCAAGCAAGAAACTCTCTCTTGTCTTCTTCATTTTCAAAAGCAGAAAAAGTTACTCTGTGATTGAGCTGGTAAATTTCTTGAGTATAAATTGAAGTCTGTGGAAGACCTGAAACATATGAAGAAGAAGGAACAGAAAAGAGTGGCTGAGCAAGCAGAGATTCAGAACTTGCTTGCTTTATTAAATAATTTTTCTTTCTTAAGTTCTCTTCCAGTTGTTTCTGATTTGTTTGTTAATACTTTACTGAGTAAGAGTGTTGTTGATAATATATCTCAATAATTATCTGGATGTTTCTGAGATTTTCTGTTGGTTTCCAGGTGTTTTCTGAGATATTGTACTTTTTCTATTTCACTAAGTAGTGAAGCTTTCTGCTGATCTTCTGATGATTTAGTATCTGTTTGACTTTATATTCTTGTTCTTTGTTGATCTTCATAGGCATTTCTTTGGTATGTAGCAGTGCTTTTTCCAATAATGAGACATGAAATACTAAGTGTATTCTTATTTTCTTGAGTAGCTGAAGTTTGAAGTTGATCTTTCTGATCTGCTTTGTGATTTTATATGGTCTCAATTTCTTGAAATCAAGTTTTTTGCTTGGTTGTTTGGTTTTGATATTCTATTAAATTAGAAATACTTTTTCCCTCTCTTTCAGAGTTGGTGTCTTCTGACATCTTCTATTATAGTAATGCTTCATTCTCTCATTCAGAAACTTAATATCTAGTTTGATCTGGTTCTGCAGTTCCTATAGTTATATTGCTGTGAGTTCTGCTTTTTGAGCTTTTTGCTGTGTAATTCTTGGTTGTTTCTGTATTTCCAGTTCTTTGCTATAGTTTATATAGAATGATGTCATCCCTGTAGTAGCATTCTTTGCTTCATTATAAGCTAATTGTGCTATAAGCAGTAGTGTAACTTAATTGTTCTGCTGATAGTTAATATATTCTTGCAGGTATTGCTTCAAGATTTGGTTCAGTTATTCTGTCTGTCCATCTGTTTGTAGATGATAGGCTGTTGATATCTTTTGTTCAATTCCCAGTTGTGCTATTAGTGTTGTCCAGAACTTGCTTATAAATCTGGTATCTTGATCTGTGATTATCTCTTCTGGTATTCTGTGATTGGCAAGCATGTTTTGTAACACTATCAGTGCTGTGTCTGGTGCTGTTGTTGCTTCTCTGATCAGTATAAAGTATCTGTACTTTGTTAATCTGTTGGTGATCACTAGTATTGAGTTGTACTTCTTCCCTTCCATATTCTTCAAATTCAGAAGTTTTGTGATGAAATCCATTGCTATAGATCACTATAGTTCTCACAGTTGTGGTATTAGCTGT